GCAGGGGAGGGGCAGAGAGAGAAGGAGACAGAATCCAAAGCAGGCTCTGGGCTTCGAGCTGTCAGCACAGAGCCCGATGCGGGGCTCGAACTCACAAACCGCGAGATCATGACCTGAGCCGAAGTCGGACGTTTAACCGACTGAGCCACCCAGGCGCCCCTTATCATTTCTTATTATCATCCCCAACACCATCGCCTCACCCCAGGTTCTCCTGTGGGGAAGCCCTGTCTCTTAAAAAATAGGGCTTCGGCCCTTGTCCCTTCCTCTGAGTGTGCCCCCCTCAGACTGCATGCCCCCTTGGGGCCTGGTCACTCTCAGCGTGGGCCTGTGAGGTTTCAGTGTGGCTCAGCTCTTCTGGCTTACTGGGGGCTTCTCGAAGGCAGGGTGGGACTGTCCTTCCCTCTGGGCCCTCTCTGTCCCTGCTTCGGGCTCCATGAGTGTTTGTGGGCTCAGGAGAAGGAAGGGCAAGACGAGGGAGAGAGAGGGGTGGGAGGCGGTGTCTGTGGGGTGCTGGGAATATGCCACCCGTCCGCGGGTGGGCCTGTGGCCCAGAGCTCATAGGTGGCCCAGAGCTCTCCTCCTTTTGTATCGGGGTCTGCAGGCACCCAGACCCCCTCCTCAGCCTGCTCCTTGTTTATCTTTGCAGGGCAAGGATCCACTTCCTTCTCCAGCTACTGACAGACCATGTCCCAGGAGTCGGCCTGGTCGCGAGTAAGTGTGGGATGGTGGGATGGTGATGACTGGGTATCACAGATCTTGTGAGTGGCCCCGCATCCCTGACTGTTTTCTCCGTATCTCCTTGCAGTCTGATTCTTGACAGGAGAGAGAGAGCCCAGAGGTCGGATTGGGTGGGTGACAGCTCCTGGGTGTGGGCCAGGCTGGCCTGTAGAGCCTCAGGGGTGGCTGGAAGAGGGCGTCCTGTCGTGGGAGGAGCGTCAGGCCACATTGGGCTGTCAGCCTTAGTCCTGCCTCAGCATCCTGGAGCGATATGACCCTGGCTTCTCTGAGTGGGGATTATATGGCCGGGCTGAAAGCCACTGGACTGGAGCTCGTACCTCAGCAGACGGGCTGTCGCCATCCATAGCTGGACAAGCCATATGGCTTCTCTGAGCCTGAGAATCTTTGTTAAGGGGGACGGGGGTCACCGCGATGCTGCTTCCCTATGGGCTGACAGGTGGGAGAGTCAGTTGGGCTCCTGGCTGGGCAGCTGTGGGCAGCTGTATCGGGGCAGCAGTGGCCGAGACAGGCCTCAGGTAGAGCGGAGTCAGGCTGGAGTCTGGCTCTCAGCCCCGAACTCTCTCTCATTGCAGGGCCGCTCATGGATTACTTGCCCACCTGGCAGAAAATTTATTTCTACAGTTGGGGCTGACACACCCCGGGAGCGGGTGCAGGGAGGGGCGGGGTGGCGCGCCCTGCTGTTGGGGACAGGGGGTGCCTTGGCCCTTCAGTCCCCCGGGGCCCCTCTGCTATAATAAAACTGACTCCGGCGGTGTCCGAGCACGTGGCCTCTTCATGCCCATTGCCCAGGGCACCTGGCACTCCCACGTGGCCAGGCCCGGCTCACCGCCCGGCCACCAGGGCACCCCCCTAACATCCTCTCAACCCTTCCCTCTTCGGTGATGGAGCCGCTGCAGCCCGTACCTCATCACCGGGCCGAGAAGCCTCTGCTGGGACTGGGCCCCGCTCTCCTCCGGCCACAGAAAGCTGGGGTTTAGCCCCATCGCGTATAGGGAGCCGCTTGCTGGCAGCTGCAGAAGTCAACTCCGCTTCCCTGTCACCGGTCCGTGTTGACAACAAACAAGGCCGAACCTGGGCGGTGGATGACATCGGCCCGCGTGTCTTCTGGCCAGAGCCTCTGTGTGTCCCTTCCCCGCAGGGCCGTGTTGCTCCCGCTGCCCTTGGCGGTGGCCGCCTGTCAGCCTCTGTGCTGGAGCCTGACACATGGTGGGCCCGGCTTGCCGCAGAGGGGTACCTCAAGCCCTGAACCCCCAGTTGGCGGCAGCGGGCTTCTCCCATAGGCAAAGTAGGTCAGCCGCCAGCCGGCACTGGGGCTGATGCTGGGAGCCTGAGAGGCTCTGGGGGAAAGCCGGGTTCGGGTTAAGGGGGTGTGAGCTGGGGTCTCCTCACACTCTCCCTGCCAGCTCCCTCCGGGCCGAGTTTCCCAGGCCCACACTCGCTGCTGGAGAGGGTGCAGGGACCCAGACTGAGCGACTGAAGCCTGGTCTTTGTGCGTGTTCCGTCCCCAGCCTCAGCCTCCGCTCCCGTCCCCTTTGCCCTGTGAACGGACCATACCCTCCTGCCGATTTCTAGCCAGATGAGCGGCCCTTTAAGTTCTGAAGGTTCCATCTGCACCAGTGTCCGCCCTGCCTCACCTCCTCTGACACCCTGGGGGGAGCCACTGTAGGAGGGGCCAGCCTGCCTCTGCGGGGGCCCCCCCCCCCCCATGCTTCTGGGAAAGGCACACCCGGGTCCTGGGCTGGAAAGCGAAGGGACCAGTCTTCAGGTAGTCACAGCTTGAGGCCCTCGACCTCGTGTTGCGTAGAATGACTGGCCGGGCACTTGCCCTGTAGCGGCCCCGGGCCTGGTGCTGTGCATTCCGCAGGGAGTAAGTACAGGTCTCCTTGGCCGGCTCTCAAGGACCGGCGGAGACACGTGTAAGTGCATGTGGCGTGCCAGGATAGGTGGGCGTGTGGACGTGCGAGTCTAGGTCGTGAGAGTCTAGGTCGGAGGTGGGCGAGTGGGGGATGCTTGCTGCCTAGACTGGCGCCTGCGGAGAGCGATTGGTCGAGGAAGCCTCCCTTCAAGCAGGCTTTCAAAGCGGTAACACGTCACAGTCACAGCCGTGTGAGCCGCTGCTGGGGTGGAAGGGACGGGAGGGTGGGAGCAGAAGGGATGAGCGGGAGGGGAAAGGCAGGGCCAAATCCAACAAGCCAT